TCGCTACAGCCAGCCTAAGCTCGAACTCTATGGTCTTTTCAGAGCACTTTGTCACTATCGTCTATATCTCTATGGTGTTCATCATCTATGGGTAGAGATTGATGCGAGGTACATCAAAGGTATGCTCAATGATCCAGATCTTCAGCCCAATGTGACCATCAATCACTGGATTGAGGGTATCCTACTCTTCGACTTTAAGCTTGTTCATGTCCCTGCTATTCAACATCGAGCCCCAGATGCACTTTCTAGACGACAGCCCACTGAGGAAGACTATGAGGAAGGTGAGGCTGATGCAGAGGAAGCTGATGAGTGGTTGGAGAGTATTCTTTTCACAGAAGCCCATCCCCTTCTGTACAATGTCATGACCCTCCCATCCTTCCTTTCCAATGATACATCCCAGGATGTCCTTTTATGTAGAATCCTCCACTTCCTTCGAACAACAGAACTGCCACCGTTCCCTTCCAACACTGCCTGCAAGCGTTTCATTCGCAGGTCCCTCCAGTTCTTCCTTCATGGAGACCAGCTCTTTAAACGTCGAGGCCCCCATCCTCCAGCTAAGGTCATCTTCGACCCAGGTCTCCATGCTCAGATCCTCGGTCATGCTCATGAAGAACTTGGTCATCGTGGAGTCTTTGGAGTCTTTCAGACTGTCAGACAGCGCTTTTATTGGCCTCAGCTCTGTCAAGATGTTGCCCACCATGTCTGTTCCTGCCATGAACTTCTGCTGTACCTTGCAACAAGGAGGCAAGATGTGCATCATACTCATCATGGATGCAATCAGGGAGAGTGGAGAACAGTAGATTATACTGTAGCTGTCGCAATTTTGGAAGAATGACGGATGAGACTGGTATGAAGATGTTGCAGGGGGCAGGGAGGAAGGATCCATATGCTTCTTGGACTGGAGAGACTGAAACAACCACATAAGACCTTTCCAAGCAAATGCCAGACCTGAGGTGACCAAAGAACGTCCTCCTGGAGGTCATACTGACAAAAAGAACATGCTGTCCAAGCTGGATGGGCTGAGAGGGGGCAGATGAGGGTGGGATGTACCAGGACACTTCAGGATGGAAGCTGGTAGGAACTCCTGGTAGATATATGTAGCCATGGTCCCTAGCAAAGGGGACAAGTGAAATGACTGATGTGGAGGCAGCCATATCAGAAGAATTAGCAAAATGAGTGTCTTTTGGAGGGAGTGCTGTAGAAACATGTGGAGTGCGCAAATCCTTTCCAATCTTGGAAGGTAGGATCACGTGGCTGAGCACTACAAGCAAGTGTGGGAATGGTTTCGGTGTCTGCAGAATTGGTGGAGATATGTCAAAAACTGGAATGCTGTACACAGGCACTTAAGAATTTTATTGGCGCTTAACTTGCCTCCTCCTTTATTCTTTGGCATTGACAACTTGTTCTTGTGCGAGGGATGACTGCCAACATTGCTGGCTGTCCTTCCTCACATGAGGGCTATGGTCTTCACCTCCATTCATCAGCTACATCCATGTCCACCTCCACCTCACCAAACACCTTTGGTGTGTGACAGCGGATAGGACAGCAGGGTGAACAAGGCCATCTATCATTTTACTGCTCCACAGTACATACAATGTCATTTTGTATTTCCATTTTAATTGACCACTCATGCCACATTGCATATTCAACCTTTATTTAAGAGTGAGAAAAAGACAATAATGGCTAAACAGCCAACAGAATTGCAAAGGATAATCTCATTCTACTAAAACAACTGATAATGTATCCTGATAGGTGGAAGTTTAGTGAATGCATGGCTTTTTGACATAGAATAGTTAACTTGAAACTTAAAAAATGAGATAGTGGGATGGTCTCAGTCTGCTAATACAGCTGCTGATGAATCTGAATAGACAGACACCTGGTGAATGAGTGGGCTATGCTATTTACAGCATTCACTTGAGAGTTGCAAAACAAGATAATCACTAATAATAGGATAATGATGCAAAGAAAGATGTCAGCCTGCAAAAACAGCATTCTGTGGATCCTGATAGACAGAACCCTTCCAAATGAGTGGCCTGCACAATATGCAAGGTTGATATGGACTGTCTTGACTTGCTAACATAGCATTCAATGGATCCTGATAGATGGAACCCTTCAAAATGAGTGGATTGTGTGAGATGCAAGGCTGAGAGCAATCAGTCATCAGATGCAAATGCAAAGCAATATTCTCATTGCACTAATGTAGGATCCAAGGTATGCCCACAGATGGGACATGTGCAAATGAGTGGATTGTGAGAGTTGCAAGGTTCAATTCAGGGAAAACATTGCATTCTGCTATTGCAGGAGCCAATGTATTTCAATAGGTGGAAGCTTGGAAAATGAGCAGATAAATATTTCTCCACAGATGGAAATACAACCAAGGGCATTCAGCCAGTCACTAGTGACCAATTCACCCTCTGTAGTGAGAAATGAGTATTCTGAGTATTCTGTTTCCCAACAATGGTTTGTTGCCATTCATCTCAGCCCACGGATGCATGAGCCTTTCAAGACAAACAACATACATACTCATGTCATACCAGACATATCCACAATGGAAATAAAACATGCAAAAGGTGAATGAATGGGCTAGCTTGCCACTGGACATCTCCTGTGAAGTACCTGCTGACCCACCCATCAGCTACAGGGCAGAATGCAAGGGTGGGGAATGGAAACTGCAGGTTCACATTAAGCTAACATTTAACTACAAATCTTTCTCCAGAACAAACTGAATATCAGTCGCATTCATGGCCTGCCATTTGCATTCAGCATGCTTGGCCAACCTCAAATACATCATCCTCTGCCTCACTGCATAACACCACACCCCAGGAGCTCCAATAGCACTGCTTACCATCTGTATCTTATGCCATTCTTTTGCTCAAAATCTGAAGAAACTTATAGCCCATTGAAATTCTGATATTACGAGCTCTTCCTCTTCTTCCCAATGATCTTTGACAGATTTTGCTTGCAGCCAATGAATGTGATAAACTAATTGAAGAAAGTTCATCAACCATAAAGCACTGTTGAACAGTAAGGTCAACATACATTCAGACATCCAACTCTTTGATTCTGTGTCCCGCAGGACATTGATCGACCAAAACCATGGAAGATGGGTTCCACAGTGCTCCTGTGCATTTTGGGAGAAGGCCGCTGTCTGCACAGCCAGGTCTTCTTTATGAAGCTCTTGATAATGTCCTAAGATATCTGCACCTGTGCCAAGTACAACCATGGCATCTCTGCATCGATTATAAATTGTGGCCTGTTGTTTTACTGAGACATTGATAGTGCAGATCATATCCCAGGTCCAAGTTTTCACAGAATAGCTCTTAGCTGTGTGCACCACCCCCTGAAAGACAGCCACCTTGTCTGCCAACATAAGACAGAGGCCATGTAGTGCATCATTAGCTTGACCTGTGTGAAGCTTCAGCTCCATTTCTGCAAGATTTTGAAGCCCTTGAGCTCAACATGCATCAATGCCAAGAGCGGATGGAAGTGGCAATTTGTCCTGCAGTCCTGCCAGGGTTCCATCTGAAGTGGGCAACTCATCCCCCACATTGTCCAACCAACCATCATCCGAAGCATAATCCTGCTCTGAATTTTCATCAAGAAATGCAGTCTGCTGTACAGATTTGCTGGTGGAAGTGTTGGAGCCTGCTTCAAGGTGCAGCTTCAAGTAAATTGCAGCATCCGCAATAAAACCCAATTGTTCAGATGCAATGCGATCAGCACAGCATGCCATAGCCAAAATTTTCAATTCCAATGCCCATTCCCCAACATCCTTTCTGTCCATGTGAAGTGAGGTTATGGCCTCTTCTAAGTGTAAACCATGTGCTAGCCAACTAGCTGCTCCATGTAGGCTTCTGCTGGGTCTTGGTTCATCCAATAATGCCAGTTTGATGGCACACACTGTTGGTGCTTCTTGTGATATGTCAGTATTTTGCATTTATCCAAAAAGGCAGATGCCATACCCACCCTTAATTGAACTTCAAAGATGTCCATGACAGATGGGTCATCGATGTGATCATGCAGTGCACGAATCTCTTGCATTTGCCAGCTGTTTTGCTGCTCTGCAGTCAAGGCTTCATCTAGCTTTATATATGCCTGCCTCACCAATGGCACTGCTGCTCAAGCCACTTTGAGCTTCTGTGATAGGCTATCCACTTAATCTTGGATGTCAGAGAGTGCGCTGCAAGTGGATCCTCAGACTAACCAATCCAAATCATCTTCATGAAGTTGGAATCATTCATCTGGAAATCCAGCAGTTCTTGGTGGTGTGGTGAGGTCATCCCACATGCAGATGTGGATGCCACATTAAGGATGGACCACAACATTTCAATGATTTCTCCATCTACCCATCCAGCCCCCTTGATGAACAGTGGGGCATACCATGCATAACATTCCTTCTTGTGCCCATGCACATGCCATATGCCGATTCCAGGGATAATCTGAAGTGACAATGGGATATCAATCATCTCACTTTGACCCACATGCTTCTGCAGATTTGTCATGTAGGATGTATTGGCCATGTGGAAGCGACTGGTAGCTATCTATGTAGGGAGATATTTCTGCTCATCTCCCATGTATTGCTGTTACCCAAAATTTGGCTCTGTCTGCCATTGTCCAACCTTGCTGAACCACATATGGCTGTGTCTGCCATTGTCCAACCTTGCTTCCCATGGTGTGAATGATATTCTTGCCATTGTTCCTACAAGTGTAAATCTTGATTGATCATCAACCTATCAGTGAACCCATCATCATTGAATACGTCTGCTGAACAGTCCTGCCAAGTTCATTTCTGTCATCAAGGTGAGGTTGTCTTCATTGTTGGATCCAGTGACCTAAGCCATCCACAACTAATGTAAGACCAACTGAGCCAAGGCAATCTAGCTCCCATGTGAAGCAGTCCAAAAATTCTGGAGGAGACACTAGTACAACTGTGTGAGTTGTGAGAGCCAACCCCTCCACCAATTGTCTCAAGTGGGAGGGTGGATATGGTGGGGTCGAACATGGATATCACAGCCAGTGAGTGAACATGATTTCTCTCCAAGCTAAACAACAAACATTCTTTCACTATAGATTCATGCAAAAGCTTGGTGGATCAGTTCCTGCAGGAAAGGGAGCCAACTGCTCTGGCAGAGGGCAGAATTGTGGCCAGTGAGTTGGCATGATTGCCCTTCAAGCTAACAAACAAACTAATTTTCTAGTAATAGATCCACACAACAACTTGATGAATTGGTTCCTGAATGAACAGGAACCAACTGCTCCCCCAGCAGATGGTATGAACGTGGATCTACTCAAGCAATTGCTGAATGCATGGGAACCATTGGCACCACCAGTCACACACAAGAAATTAAACAGGATGGACAGGTCTTCAACACCTGCACAAGATGTTACTATGCAGGTTGATTTTCTGGCAGACTTGCAGAATGTGTGGGAACCATCTCCTCTGCCCATCACCTGTGAATCATCAAATCTGAGGGACTGATCTCCTTGACCTGATTCTCTGACTAACCCTGCTTGCTCAATTGCAGGATATGAGGGAACCAATGCCTCCCCCACTCGTTTCAAATGTACCCATTGAATCTTTTGACTTGGCAGTGGATGAGGACAATGGCACAAACCATTTGACTTTTGGCATGCCCAAATGATCAGAGATGAGGGATCTTTTTGAGGAAATATGCAATGGTGAGCATTTATTTGGTTCTATTCACGTGATCAGTGATATCCATCCATTATGTAGGTGAACTTCCATCCACACAGCAATCTCTTCAAATGGAACAATGGGGATTGGCACCTGTTCCATGATGCGAACAAGGTATGGGCATGAGCTTAATCTGATATGCCTTTGACATTGATAATTTTAGTCCTGTGCACCTTACATGCCACAGTATCTTGCTATTGTGGAAACACCACTCCCAGCAACATGCCATTTGATCCCACCCTCGATAGGCACCTTGTGCAGGCTGTGAATGCCATTGTGAGAGAATTGGGCACAGCTGCAAGGGACCAGTATGGTGCAGCCTCTCATGGCCTTTGACTCATCAATATGCTTGATTTGATGGAAGTCATTTGTTATCCACATTCTGCCTTTGAAAATTGTCCCAAGCCATTCATTGCCAGCCAATCACACCCATCTCACCAGTCTGTGGTAGAGATGGGTATCCTCTACTTGGTGTGCCAGATCAAGGTGGCCTCTGTACATCTGAAGCAGACTGCTGATATCACAGGATGGCCTGCACATTGGTTTGCAAACTTAGCAATGGACTTGGTAGGTTTTACATCAATTTTTCACAATGTGGGACTGATACATAATTCCTTCAGAATCAGCTTAATAGCTTGATTCTGGTGACAGTGTTGCATGCCAGTTATACTCCTCCCCTCCTGGCATGCTACCATGCATACCTCAGACACCAAGATGATGAGGTTAGCTTCCACAATCAAATGCAGCTAATTCCCCTTAGTGCATTTACCATAATCGACAATATCAGTGCCATCATCCCACATTGGACCCCACATGCAGCTGATCCCAATTCCAGCTTTGCATTCCCTTGGTGGCTATATTGTTCTGAGGAATATGCAGTGGATTCCCAAAGATTGCAAGGCAAGGGATTGTTTTCCATGACCTGGGATTTTTTTAAGGTATGCCACTTATTCTTGTCACTGAAAATAGTTGATGATGGCCCAGGGCTTATGGGCATTGCCTGAGGCACCAATTGCAGACCATCTCAATGGCCATATCAAGGAGCAGGTAAACTACTGCATCAAAAATATTCAGAAATATGCCAATGTTGTCAACAGTCAGGGTTGACAAATTGACCATTTCTACACTAGGTGGTGGGCATTGTGCAGGTTGTTGGGCATGCCACTTCAGTAGTTTACATGTTTTTGACTGTGGAGTTGGTTGAATATACATTGCTGTAAATGTCGATCATTTATGAGATGCCACCCATTTGCATGATGTCTGAACCCCCACCCATCTGCACGATGTCCAACAATCCACCCATCTGCATGATGGCCTGAGTAGGTTTATTTTTTTTGCAGTTTATGATGCACACCCTTTAGCTCTGAGTACCTGCCCAATCTATGATGTCAAAGCACCCACCCATTTGCAAAATCTTGGCAACACCACCCATCCAAAATTCAAGAGCCAGCATATCCTAATAAAATACAAGATCTGCATCACCTACTAAATCTTACATTAAATTTTGCAGCTTCAAATCAACAGTTGTCCAGTTGCAACTGGTCTAGGTAGTAGGTTGTCCATCCACAGTGATTGACACATGGGAACAGGCACTGACTGATGTACATTGGCATGCATGTAGTATGCCAGGCATGCTCTGTCACCATCTACAACTCCCACCCCATGCTCCAGTGCTGAACCTGAAAATGCAATGATTGTCCCTGGGTTGTAGCACAGCTGCAGATTCAATGTTGGAATGACAAAGTCCAAGGGCAGGTAGTTGCCCACAGTTACCAGCATGTCATACCATGGATCCCATCCATTGATATCCCTGCAGTAACAAGTTGCTTGATTCACCATCACAGACATGCTGCTATATGTGGAGCTCCATATCAGCAGTATGGAGCTCATATCTGAATCCACCCGCTGTTCCACCTGTTTGCCAAGGTGGATCAATGCTTCCCTGCCATCTGCATACATTCATGGATGGATGACATGCAGGATCACAGATAACAGGGCATTGGTGTCAGACATTTGGTTGACCCATTCCCTTGTAGAAGTGTTTTCTGTCCTGGATTTGAGCAGCCATGAGGCTTCCAGGAAGCCATTTTGGGGCTTCAAGGCAGATGAGTGCTTTATTCACAAGGAAAGAAATGATCACCCACCCCATGACCCTGTTGAAACCATGCAGGTGACAGGTTGATGGTGCCTTTCAACTCAGCATTATCACAGAAATATGACTTGTCCATCTGCCATGCCTGTGGGGAAGCCTTTATGCTCTCCCACAGTGGTTCCCTCAGAAGATGAAGGCAGTTCCATATGTTGGCCTGCCATTGCATTAAGTCAGTAGAATATGAGATTCTGCATTCCCTTACCCTTCTTTTTGGGCTGAGAGCATCTGGCAAATACCAAATGCAGATGGTGTTTGAGTCAGTCACCAGAATGGATGGCTCAGTCACTTCTGTGTATCTCTCAGCAGCTTCTGCATTGCAGGTTTTTCCACCCCAATTTTTCCCAATGTTGACTGTGGAAAGATGAAAACTTCCATTGCACCATTATGATGGACTTACTTGGGTGATGATAGGCCTGTGAGATTACTGATGATATGTGATCTGCTTCACATAACACTGGAAACAGAATTGATATATCTGGAAGGGTGCAAGGTCCACTGAATACCTCCTCTTGAAATCTGGCTTTCATGTATGATGCAATGCAGTCTGTTAGTTCCATTTGCCATCTGTGGGGGGTTTTAGACATGTCTTGTGTAGGTTTCATGCTTGGGGTGGATGAGGTCGGAGTTGTATAGTGGGCAAGCCACTTGCAGCTTGTTGGAAAATTATGGCATGTTGGGATGCTTGCCTCAATATTTTGCTGTGATCCAATCAATATGTTATGATGCTATACGTGCTATTGGTGTTGGGCCCGTCTTATGTTGCAACAGGGGTGGATCTTACTAGATGGACCCATCCTTGTTTTATGGCGATATAAAAGATATTACTGAAGGGCCCATCCATACATTATGACCATATAAATAATACTGCTGAAGGGCCCATCCTTATGTTGTGACTGCATAAATGATACTGCTGAAGGGCCCTTCCATATCTTGTGACACTATAAATGATATTACTGATGGGCCTGTCTTTATGTTGTGACAGGGGTGCATCTTACTAGACAGGCCCATCTATGTGTTGTGACACTGTAAATGATATTACTGATGGGCCTGTCTTTATGTTGCAACAGGCATACATGTTGCTATTGACAGGCCTGCCCATGTGTTGTGACTGTGTGATTGATATTACTGACAGGCCCATCTTTATGTTGTGACAGGCATACATGTTGCTATTGACAGGCCTGCCCATGTGTTGTGACTGTGTGATTGATATTGCTGAAAGGCCCATCTTTATGTTGTGACATGGGTGCATCTTACTAGACAGGCCCATCTATGTGTTGTGACACTGTAAATGATATTACTGATGGGCCTGTCTTTATGTTGTGACAGGCATACATGTTGCTATTGATGGGCCCATCTATGTGTTGTGACACTGTAAATGATATTACTGATAGGCCCATCTTTATGTTGTGGCAGGGACACATCTTACTAGATGGGCCCATCTATGTGTTGTGACACTGTCAATGATATTACTGATGGGCCTGTCTATATGTTGTGACACCATAAATGATATTACTCCCAGGCCCATCCATATGTTGCCAACTCTGTAATCTATCATAGATGGGCCCCTCTTTATGTTGTGACCCTATAAAACATATGATGGGTGGGCCTGTCCATATGTTGTGACCTTCTTCATGATACAATAGGCAGGCCTGTCCATGTCTTACAGTAGCTTAGCATACTTACTTGGTCATGGGCCTGTCTATATGTTGCAGCATCCTTACCCTCCACAGGCCCTCCCATATGTTGTGGAATTGCATTTATGGGCCTGTATGTATGTTGCTCTCACTATAGGCCCTCAGGCCTGTCCATGTGTCATGGCTAATCTATTTAGACAGGCCCATTGCAGGGTCTATATAAGTGTTGGCATTTTGGCATGCAGGCTACCTATATGTTGTGACTAAATGGACTACATGGGGTCTGGGATTCACATTGTCAGCCTTACCTTCTGTGGGTGTGAGACTGCAGATTCATATACACAACAATTGCTGCACATTCACTGGCTCCCTGCAACTTCTGATAAGCCCCACACTGCAGCAATGTTCCAAGTCCTGGAAGACTTTCATCTCCTGTCATTAGAATCCAAGCTTTCTTGTTATGAGTTTCACAGTGCCTTGTCACGTTGTTCAGATAATACTGGATTAAATCCACCTAAGGTGCATTGCAGTTCATGTTGTAAAGTTTGTGCTCAGTCATGTCAGGCTCATTATGAACAGTTTTTGAGAATGGTCCATCAATGGCGCCACCTCAAGATGCTCAAACATTCAGGACAAGGACACGATCCTGCTGGTGTTTTGAATACAAAAGAAGGCAAATGTGCAGTGTTATGTCCAGCATGCCCTCAACCCAGGAAGAACATGATGGGGTCACCAGAAAGGTTAGCTATATCTTAACTCTGATATTCAACTAAATTGTTATGTAGAGATGTTGATGCACTTTTTGTCACTCTTGACACCAACTTTTGCCTCAGACACCATGCAGTCTCAAATAATGAGAACAATCCAAGCCTCAGTCAGGGCTGGGCATATTTTGTGGAGGACACCATGTTCAAGAGATACTTAAGTGACCACTGGCATGATATCCAAGAGGTATGCAGTTGTCCACTGAATGCACTTGCAAACATTTATTTTAATCCAGAAAAGCATGTGCTCAAATCACAATGCAGTGAATATGGCAGATGCAAAGTCAAAGAAAGGTTGCAATGTGACTGGCATTGGCATGGTTGTTTGCACCAGGTATGGCATGAGGCTCCCAAATGGGATAGTTGACCTACAATATGGTGAAAGGTGTGTATCATTTACATCCAATGTGATATCATTTCATGAGTGTAAAACATACAGATATGTGAATATGGACTATGCATTTGCATCTGCACTACACCACTCAGATGTGACTGTCCTCAAAGTTTCATATGACATTGCCTGCCAGTGGCACAAGAAGTTATATCAGTGGATGGACCAGATGCCACCTTCTTTACAGTCAAACTTACATGACTGGGCTGTTACATTTCTCGTACCCAAGTTTCACCTTCCTGCCCACATTGCCTCATGCCAATGGTCCTTCTCCTTCAATTGGACCAAGGGTGTTGGTCAGACAGATGGCAAAGAACCTGAGCATGGATGGGCAAACCTTAACCCCACTGCTTCAAGCATGAAGACCATGGGCCCTAGTCATCGTCAAGACACACTGGATGACTACTTTGGTGACTGGAACTGGAAAAAGCTTATTGGACTGGGTTCACTACCATTTCCATTGATTCACTGAGGACTGATTTACCTCCTGTTCATCATAGGCGCTTCTCTTCTTAGGAAGGTAAAGGAGGCCATCCCTGAGTGCAATGATCATCAATGTGACTTTGAAGAATTAACATGGTTGCTCAAGCTCAAGTTTCCTGAGCAACTCGCTCTATGGAAGCAGCAGGTAGAGGACTGGGAAGCCAACTCAACCAAGCCTAATCCATTCGAAGTTAAGAACAATGGTATGTACAGTCTTGAACAAATTTTTGTTTCCCTTCAATTCATCTATACTGTACCTTCACAGGTATCACGCAAGCTAGTATCCACTTACAATTGGCGAGGATGAGGCCAGTGCACTTGCAGGAGGGAGTGAGCTCCTACTACATCCAGATGCAACCCCAAGTGTTCTCATTGGCACTGGGATTGACCTAGAGGATCAGCAGTAAGTCACCCTCTGTGGGACATCTGTTGATCTAACTCCTGCAACATAGACAACATCTGTGTGATGCCACTGAGCTGGCATTGTGTGTCATGGATATGCACAAACTCAGGGTTCAACAACAAAGCAATGCACTGGTGAGGCTAATTGAGGCATGGCAAAAACTTCAAGTCCTGTTTATGCCTGGTGTAAGTGCCCTCTGGGATGAGTGGCTGGAGTTTGCCAGTCAACCTCATTCCCTGGAGGACGTCCCATTGTTCCTCCCATCACAAGTTAGTGGCAAAGTCGCATGTCCACTGAAATTGGCAATGATTGAACTTCAACTCAGGGAGGGTCAAGTGCATGATGCATTGAATGATCTGTGCCAGGGTCTTCGATCTCATGCATACATGCTCAAATTCAAGGATTGTTTTTTACATGGTCAAGGAGCCAACACCCACACACAAAATTGTCTCAAAGCCCTAGATACCAAGATAAATACTGCTGCTACAAGGTATTGTGTAGTGTATCAAGCATTACCCATTCTTGCCCCCCTGGTTGGACAAGTTGGGTGGAGGGACAAGCTTCACCCACTTGCAGATGAGGACATTAGTGCACTCACAGATGCTTACAACCTCTGGCCTGGAGAGGGATGGTGCCATGTTTCTTGGATTTGGCAGTTATACAGGTACAGTTATCACACCACAGAGAAGGAATCAGATGATGGTTTTCAGGAGGGTAAGCATCTTCTAGCAGCCTCATCAACCTTGCTTTAGTGCTAATCTTAACTCCATATTAGCCATCCATGTGGAGTGGTGCAAAGCATGTGCATGTGCACACTGCTGGGAAGAGGAGGTTGGGCTACTATTTGAAGAAAAGCAATGTACATTACAGTTTCTTGAGTGGCATGCAAATTGGTGGATGGGCCATGCTAGTGCCATTGCAACAGGTGACAAAGCTCTCTCCTAATGGGTGTCATGCATATGCTGAGTGTCAGGCAGAGCTTCAGCATCAGCTCACAAGGTCATTTGCTGATATGTGGAAGGACACACAGCATTTCTTGGATGTTGCCAATGCTTATAGTGTATCTCCCTCTCCTATGCTCTGAAACATCTTAGTTTCTATCTTACTGCTTTGTAACCATGAATTGACTGTGACCTGTGAGTATCTGTGTATCACATGCAGTGCCATAGCGCCATAGGGTAGTGTTGCTGTTGCATTATTATACTAATCCCATTGCTGTCTATACTACACATATTGCAACACCCATTGCAATGTCTATACTACTTTTGTTGCAATGTGTTGCAGCACCCATTGCAACATCTATACTACTTTTATTGCAATAATATTGCAATAATTCATGGTTGATGTGCCATCATGAGTGGTGCAACAGAGCCCAACAGTAGTTACTGTGTTAGTTGCAACAAACTGGCATAAACTTGTGCAGTGTCATGGTCATGACATGTACCATCTGAAGAGGCAACCCCAGTGGGTGCTGTAAGGAGAGAGATCTCCTTACTAGAATATTGGGTATTAATTCTTATTTTATTGTGTCTTTACTTATTGTTGTGGGTACTATACTTGAGTAGTATAGTTCGCTTTTTGTGTGCTTAGTCAGCACTTACTTACAGTTTGTTCATACTGTAAGTTTTCACCAATAGACAAGTTGCCCCAAAGATGAGAACAAGTCTAAGACCACCCCAGACTGCCCTAGACAGTTCCCTATCCCTTCCTTCCCTCACTCAGGCTATAGGAGCCCCTTTGGACTTACTCTCCCTTTCAGGTTCTACTACTCCATCCTCAATCCTCTCTAATATATTTCCTCACAGCATGGCTGTGGATGTAAAATTATTGGTGCTTAATTCCTCTTGCAATAAAAATAAAAACATGCCTATCCAGTCAACAAAAGAAAGCCTGAAAATAAGGTCTGCAGATCCAAAGGCAGGGTTGGAACTAGAAGTGGTGTTGGAAGGAAGAGGAAAGAAGTGGGAAGTAAAAGTACTGGTGGACTCTGGAGAAAATGACACCTTGGACAAAATGCAGGCCAATGAAAAGGATGTCCCTCTTGTCAAACTTGGATGACCTGTTTCTGTCCTGAACATCAATGGTACCCCTAATGTCATGGGCAACATTACACATGTCACATCCCTTGTCATGAACTACCAGGGACATTGAGAGTCTGTCTGGGCACAGGTCACTACACTTGGCTTTGGAAACACAACCCCAAGGTTTGTTAGGAAACCAAAAAGGTAAAGCTCTCATGCTGCCCTTGCAAGTGCTATGACCTTGCCCCAAGAACAAGAAAGGAAAGACTGGCTGAAGAACAGGAGGCTCAGGACATGGAGTACCTTTACCCAAAACTTCATTCCACCAGGGTCAGGGCAGGAACCATGAAGGAACTCATCCCAAAAGAATACCATGAGCACCTCAAGGTATTCTCAAAGGAAGAGTCAGAAAGGATGCCCCTTCATAAACCATAGGACCATGCCATTGACCTAAAAGACACCTTCACCCCCAAGCATGGCCATCTCATACCCCTTTCCACTGAGGAACAGAAGGAGGTCTCAGACTTTCTTGAGGACCAGCTACAGAAGGGATACATTTGCCCCTCAAAGTCCCCTCAAACTTCCCCAGTATTCTTCATACAAAAGAAGGATGGGAAGAAGCATATGGTACAGGATTACCAGTACCTCAACAAGCATACAGTCAAGAATGCATACCCTCTGCCTCTCATATCTCAGCTTGTTGATAAGCTCAAGGGTTGCAAGCTCTTCACCAAGGCAGACCTTTGCTAGGGCTACAACAATGTTCACATTAAAGAGGGGGATGAATGGAAGGCTGCTTTCATCACCCACAAGGGTGCTTATGAACCTCTGGCCATGTACTTTGGCCTCTGCAGCTCCCCCTCCACCTTCCAGAACATGATGAACAATATCTTTGGAGACATGGAGGATGTTTTGGTTGTCACACTGATGATCTCATGATCTTCACCAAGACAGATGACAAAGCAGAGCATGACAGGATCATCCTTGAGTTCCTGAAGAGGTTGGAAGAGAATGATTTGTTTGTCAAGCCAGAGAAGTGCTTCTTCAAGCAGAAGAAGGTAGAGTTCTTGGGCATGGTGGTATGCACTGATGGGGTCAAGATGGACAAGAGCAAGGTCAAGGCCATAACAGAATGGTCAGTACCAACAAAGGTTCATTTGGTATGAGCCTTCTTAGGCCTGGCAAACTTCTATAGGCACTTCATCAAGGACTTTGCTCAAATGGCTCATCCTCTCAATGACCTGACCAAGAAGGACCAGCTGTGGTCATGGGGACCCAGAGAACAGAAGGCCTTTGATGACTTAGAATTTGCATTCATGACTGCCCCTGTCCTTTCCTTCCCTGATTAAAACTACAAGTTTCATTTGGAGACTGATGTTTCAGACTTTGCAACCAGAGCCATTCTCTCTGTAAAATGCAAAGATGATCTTTGGTGCACTGTTGCCTACTACTCCCATTCCATGTCTCCTCCTGAACAAAACTATCAGGTCTTCAACAAGGAGATGCTTGCTATCATTCATGCCTTGGAAAGCTGGCAGCACTACTTGGAGGCTACCCCTTACCAGTTTGAAATCTGGATGGATCACTCCAACCTCCAGTACTTCATGCAGGCACAACCATCAGGCATGTTGGGCCCAGTATCTCTCCAGGTTCAACTACAAGCTGGTGTATAATCTTGGCTTGTCCATGGCCAAGGCTGATGCATTGTCTTGAAGAGAGGATCATGAGCAGGGGGTAAAGGCAGATAGTCAAGGCATCACTCTCCTTGATCCTTCAAAGCTTGCTTCTGCTCTGGTGATTGGAGAGGATACAGACTGTCATGACCATGCATTCACCCTAAGTTCTCACTCACTCCACATCCTTCTCTGCCAGTCATTCACTCATTCTGCACCAACTCCACCTGCCCTCTGGCAGTGATGAGCCTCCTCTACTCCAACTGCTGTTGGACTTGTGTTGGTCTATCATTGAACCAAGCAGACTGTTCTCTGAGCAGTCACATGATCTCCCTCAGACTTCTCCCTGACAGCATGCAGTCAGGTACTCTGCAGTGCATGCACCACATGGTCCAGTGCCTGGACTGTTCCCTTTTTGGGTTGTTCTATGTTACCCATTCATATGTCCTCCATATTCCCTTCATTTATCACCTAGGAAGTTTTACTTGAAAATTTACAAGTCTCCATATGTCAGTTCCAATTCTGATTACTGTACCTCTGTAGTAAGTATAAAAGCATGTACCATACTCCACTGTTCTTCAGTACAAATATCAATTTAGTTCCTACTCCCTCTGTCTCCATCTTCTGTCTGTCAGAGTTACCTCTGACTAACCATCTGTTCTCTCCCTCTGAAATATGAGGGCTGAGATTGTGCAAGGGGGTAGCACATGAGCTAAACCTGATACCCTCACTCTACCCTGCCTCTGTCTTGGTGGACTTTGTCCCTGCCAACCCTCTGCCAGTCAGAGTTCTATTCTTCTGTGTTGGACTTGCTTCTGAACCCCTCCCTAGACTCTATCTAGTGTTGGAGTTGGTTGGAGTAGGCCCAGACTTGACACAGACCTTGCCTTGAAGTCAGCTTCATTGGCTATGCCTCAGCCAGAAGGCTCAGCTCTCCAGGAGGGCCTCTACATTTGTGAAGGGAGGGTTTACATCCCACCAGCTGTTTGCATCCATTGCCTGGAAAAACACCATGATACTCCCATAGTCAGCCACCCAGGTCAGAAGAAAACTCTGGAGCTCATTTCCTGCAACTACATCTGGCCTGGGATGACTGGCTCTGTAAAGGAGTATGTGGCTGCATACCACTGCTGCCAAATGACCAAGAGCTTGAGAACTCCTCCTTGTTGGAGTTTGACATATTTACCTTAGTCATGTTCCAGTGAGCACAGCATTATGTAATCAAAAAAGCGCACACTTTGTGGTACTTATTTACCTGCACCTCAGCTTCAACCAACTTGAAGTCTGAGGTGAGACTCATACATTCTTTCTACAGAACATTTACTTATCTACCTAGAATAATCCTTTCTTCCAGTTCAGTACTTGACTCCCTCTGCAGTTCATCAACCTTCAAAACTCTTGCTAGCAAGCTCCTTCCTAACCCTGTCCCTGAACAACCCTGGACTGATGTCTCAGTTGATTTCATGGAGTTACCAGATGCCCAAGGTTTCAACAACATTGTGGTGGTGGTTGACAGGTTTTCAAAGGAGGTGGTCTTTGCACCAACCACTAAAGAGGTTTCCTCCCTCCAGACTGCAGAACTCTTCAGAGATCATGTCTGGATCCAACATGGTCTCCCCTCATCCATCATATCTAACCAAGGTCCTCAGTTCACTAGTGCATTCACTAAGGATCTCTGCAAAACGCTTGGGATCACACCTAAGCTCTCTACCACCTTCCACCCACAAACTGATGGCCAAACTGAACATCTCAATCAGGATCTCCAGCAGTACCTTTGTTTGTTTGTAAATGACAGACAGAACTCCTGGCCTTCATGGTTAAAGGTTGCACAGTTCTCATACAACAATAAGTGACAGGAGTCCACTGATAGGTCCCTCTTTTTGGTTACCCACTCCTACACTCCACATATGGGAGTTGAACCCTCCTTTCTAAGGCTGAGCTTGCTACAGACCATGCTGTTGACTTTGCCAAGGTCCTTGAGGACACTAGGAAGGCCCTCAAGGAAACAGCAGACTGGCATCACACACCAAAGGTGTTTGGTGAGGTGGACATGGATACAGCTGATGAATGGAGATGAAGACTATAGCCCTCATGCATAGAATGACTCCCAGGAATGTTGGCAGTCATCCCTCACACTAGAACAAGGTGTCAATGCCAAAGAAAAAGGAAGGAAGCAAGTTAAGTGCCAGTAACGGTTCTTAAGCACCCATGTATGGCACTCCAGTTTTTGACATATCTCTGCCATTTCTGTAGATACTGACACCATTCCCACACTTGCTTATAGTGCTCAGCCATGTGACTACCTTCCAAAATTGGAAAGGATTTGCACACTCCACATGTTTCTAAAGCACTCCCTCCAAATGATGCTCATTTTGCTAATTCTTCTGATA